GCACTACCACCATCAAAGAGGGGTTCAGCCTTGGCCAGTGGCGGGTCCACCTTGGAGCCAGCTGGCACTGGCTCTGTCGGACACAGGGAAAGCTTCTGGCAGCTTCTCACAGAAGCCACCCCTGTAGCCCCCCCACTACCAAAACCTTGCCACACAAACCCAGTACATGTGAGACTATGACTACAACCTATTTCACACATGTTTAAGTGCTCTGAAAGCCTCACGAGGCAACCTGAAAATGCATTCAAGGCCAGCGTTAAGTGAAAAAGCGAACCCTGCCCTTGCATCCATGTGGAGATTTCAGCCTGGCCCTGCAGAGCTCCCTCTAGGGCCAGGGCTCAGCCTTCCACCAGCGCTTTTCCAAATGGCCCCGTCACCATTTACTGAGGAACCAATACACAGGTCAGCCTACGCTAACAGCACTGAGGTATCATCATAAAAGTTACTACATTGGAAGTTATTATAGCAATTGTAATTTCATTGCTGAACAGTTTAGTAGATTGAGGGTTGGAGTCTGCCAGTGCTTTATAGTATGCTTATTCTAACAGAATAGGCATGTAATTAAATAATTAACCAACTTAGTTTGGGAATATCCAAGGTTGTTCCCTGCTTTTAACACATCAAATGTCAGTTGCAGCACTTAGCAACTCTTTAAAATAAAAAGCCCTATAAAATTCTCATACTCAGAATGGCCAAAGCAGTAAATAGGTTAGTAACTTGCTTAAAAGTTATTACCGATGAACAAATAAAGCTGCTGCAGCTGGCACGGAGGAACCATGGATTATACGAATGATAGTGAAGTGCATCCCCTCCGGCACGCAGGAAGATGAGCAACACAGCCGATAGTTACTGCACAATTTCAGAACGGTAGCAATTTGCAGCCTTGTGCAGTGCAAGTCCTGAACTACGCCGCAGTTTAGCTTTTAAGAAGCATGGCTACGCGTGGTGCCAGTGTTTGGTAGCTGAATGGATCCAGGAAATCCCGTTACCACCAGCTCCAGAAAGGTGATTTATTTCTGTTAGGAACCACTGCCAGAACAAAACCTTGCACTGACTCTACCCATGTTACCACAGTAAGGCTTTATCAAAAGTTAAAACAGTTTTATTTTCCGAAAGCCACCAGATGCAGAAGGCTCCTCTCATTACGGTCAGCAGTGGCAAAGTAAGAGATCGCAGCTGATCCAAACCGGACCAAATATGAGGAGAGGTGGCGACAAGGCACACTTTACAACACCCCTGAGGTACGTTTAGATTTTGGCAGGGAAGCAAGGTTTTTGATCCATATTAAGGCCTGAAAGGTCAGTAGTTCAGGAGAGCAGTCCACCAGAGCATCTCTAAAGTGTGACTGCAGCTCGATTTACTGTAAGAAAGAGAGATGAACTTAGCAGGACAAAATCACACCTTTGACTTCATAACTAAACAGGATAAATATATTCTAATAGTGTGGCTTTAGGTACTTCATATATGTCACACTCCTAAAGAACATACGTAGTCTATAGTACCAAGCCAGTAACAGAATTAAGGTAAACCGCATTCAAGTCAAAAAGAAAAGAAAAAAAAAAAAAAATTAAAAGTGCATTTGGTTCAAGAAACATCACTACTGAAAAATTTCATTTTTAGGTTGCGTGTAGTGAAAATGTGCTTCTTCCTTGGGATGGTTATACACTGCATGTTTCCATTTGACAGTGTGGTTTTCAAGAAGAGGTTACAGGTGAAAAGATGACCATGTCTGGAATCCGGTGATACAGAAAGCTGAGTGAAAAAGAAAAACAAAGTTAATTTTTTTCCACCCTACAGTAAGGTAATCACTTAGCATTATTTCAATCTAATTTTTACACGGATTTCCTAAAAATAAAATTAGCATAAGAAAAAAAATGACACAACTAGGAAGATAAATGGAAAACATCCCACTATACGATTTAACTTACTTACAAATTAGAATGGCAACATACATTTCCTAATGAGCTTGACTTTGAGACACCAAACCACAGGGCTCATTCTTTTCCTTCAGAGGCTACTCCAGAAAAATCTTGCCCAACTTTGTATTGCGATTCCTTTTACTTCTACTCCTCCTTCATCTGCCTTGAACCACTTCTCCTTTGCCTAAGCCCGTCCCTGTATTTTACACATTTCCAAGTATGCGTCAGCTGCTGTGATCCCACCCTCATGTACTCAGTGAAGAAAGCAGAAGTGAATTATGAAGGAATAAGCTGGGTGGTCTCTTCGGGTTTTCTTTCTCAATTCTCCAGCCTAACAGCTCTCGAGTACCAAGCTCCCAGAAGAGTACACACCTTCAGTGTCCAGGGCAGTAAACAGAGTAAAACATAGCAAGGGAATTGCGCCTCAAACTATGCAACTCCACAGAAACAAGAGTTGCTCAAGTTTATTCTCTGCTGAGGAAGGGACCTCGTGTTAAGAATATTCACCCAAAATACTTTGTTAAAAACAGAACGTGACTGATTTTTTTTTTTAAAGCAGTGGGGAATGACAGTTTTCCCTCCAACTTGCATTGCTTCAGCAAGAAAGACACTGAGCTTATTAAGGCCTGTTTGACCAAAGACATAAATGCACTAACAACAAAGCATTTCAGCTTCATTTCTCTATATGTTTTGTAACACAGCTTAAAACCAGTAACGTTCTCAAATCCTTGTAATTGTAACATCAATTCTGCCTTTCTCCTTATGTAGCTCCTGTTTTCTCCTCAACTGAACAAACCAAATCCAAATCATTCTATCTGAAATGCAAGTTTGAATGCAATTTCTTCTCCACCAGCTGTGCCTCCAATGTCTCCTTTACCACATAATTTAGGAGTGAGTTACAGTCACCATTCTCAGTGATCAATGTGTTGATCCTTCTACAGACACACTAATCTTCCTTTGTCATCAGAGCATCCTGATTAGATTCCGTGTATCGCTTCTCTCTCTCAACCAATGTGGAATTTGGCCTAAAGTCCAGCTTTTGTAATGAGTAACCGTACATTTCAGTATCCCCCATATTACGCGCTTTGCATTTGGTACGTTATATACTGCACCTTTTCTAAAGCTGTCAGACAGCTTTCAAAGAGCAAAAACCAACTCCACATCCAAGCAATCATATCAGGACCAAACAATTACCGTAGGGCATACGCTAGAACAGCTGGCTAAGGCACAGAGGAACAGGTAAAGGACACTGGTTCTCTGAAGCACGCACTGTCAGAGCAATCCTTACCTTGGTCTGGATCAGTGCTTTGCAGTCATTAATGCTGAATCCATCGAATCTGAAATCCTCGTTATCTTTAACATCTGATTCCTCAAAAATGTCATCCTGAATCTCTGAAAAGTCCTAGCGAAACATAATTTACATTTTCTCTATGAATTTTTATCTGATCTCAAAGCATATAACCTAAAGAGAAGTTTCCCTCAAATAACAATAACCACTAAATTTTACTTTCTGAAGCTGTATTTGATTTATCATGTGCCCCTCTTGCATTAAAACAATTTTATGCCAAAACAAGTTCTACACACATGAATCTAATAGCGACTTAAATTAATAAAAAAGCCATTTCCAATTAAAATTAGCCTTAACCTACACCAGAAAATAGCTGAGAAATACATCATCATCATCATTGTTAAAAGCAATACAATTTTCCAGTAACAGAAAAGAAACAATTACATAGGTTGAAGCTGCCTGTGCATTGCTTTAATGCCAGCGTATCTATGGGCAAGAAAGGAACAGAAGGGGAGTTTAACCATGTTGGAGAAACGTCTCCCATTCTCTCCTGTTAAGTGGCTTTCAGTGCAGAATAGGTCCTATACTTTCAGCACTGTCGTTCTGTTCGTATATAACTTGCATGAAAGGTCAAATATGTCCATAAACCCAAAATTGAACGCAGTACCCCCGCCCATGCTTCAGCAATCAAATTATCAATTGAAACAGTTACTACTGAAAACCACATGTGACTAATTCATCCCAACTAAATAACCAGGTTGAACACTAAACCATCTCTGATACCTTTATCTTCTCAAAACAAGAGATTAAACAGCGACATTTCTTTCCGAGATCTTTCAGTACTGTTAGTTTGGTCTCGATTCAATTTAAAACATACTCTCCCTCAAGCCTTGCAAAAACAGACAGAATAATCTGAGGAAAAGGGAAGTGGAACACACTTTCAGTTCGTATACAGTAAAAACATCCAGTAATGACTTTAACAGCCTCTCTGATTCAAATCTGATTTTCACTTAATGGAAAGATATTAGAGGCTAACAATTTTCTCATACTCTGAGCAAAAAAGAAAGCCATCTTCCTGCACACACACCTGAAAGCTAACTCTCCATCTGTACTACAGCTGAACGTACCACCTCATGCAACAGGGCGCTATGTAACAGAGACTTCAATGTGAAGACGATCAAAATTCAGTCCTACACGATTTCATAGTTACTTACTCATAACGATGAGTAAACACTAGGCCATCATTTTAAAAGGCTCTCTGTAAAAAACCTCATGACTCACTCAGATCTAGTTCCTCATGCATCTGCGTGTATAGCTTAAAGAAAATCAGATTTGTAACCAAGTGTTTATACTGGCATAGTAGCAAACCGTTGTTCAATTACCTTTTGATTTGCATCTATTCCAAGAACACTCAAGAGGTTTTCTTGGCAATGAGATTTACTCCAGGGATGTCTTAAGCTGGGGGTATTATCAAAGCCTCTAAGTGTTCTCCATATGTTTCCAGAATCAATGCTAGGAAAAACACAATCTGAGGTTATAAGGTGTACAAAGTTTCCTGTAGATGTATATAACTGATTTCCACCACATATAGTTGTGTCCCAGCCTACCTTGATCTCAAAAGCAACTTATCTCAAAACTACTTCTACATTCGTTCAAACTATCAACCCAATCTACTAATAAGCTTGCACGACAATTAACGGAAACAGTAAGTCAACATAATTGTATGTTTGGGCTTCTCAGATAAGCAGTGCATTAGAAGCCTATTTCAGAGATTGTTATATGCCAACAGCTCGGATTATCCAATTGCTTCTGTAAAACGTGGGTAGTGTTCAGCCCTAACAATTCTGTGCCCTGCACTTTCTGTCCCTCAAACCTTTCTCCTTCCTATCAGCCATGCCCCTCCACTGCAGCAGCCTGCTGCTCAGCTGGGTGACCCGTACCTGCTCTGGACACGTAGGTGCTACAAAACAAGCCCAAGGCATGCAGTACTGCAACAGTGAGAACTAAAGAGTTCCCTCTACATGGTGCTTTGGGTTCTTACATTGCATTCATCCTACATAAATCCAGTTGCTTTTTGCTTAGTACATGATGCAATTATCATTAATCTTAGTTATTCACCACAGTAGATCAGGGCCTTTTTGTCTGTAGTTGTACTCTGCTGTAATACTGCTGCCCCTTTTACATACATGTCATATTTCTTCACAAGTTTGAGGCTGATTAAAATATAATGCATATACAAGGAACTTGCCGAAAGGATGCCCACATTAAATATTTTAACTCCATTTCTTGTGATTCTTATGACATTTCCGAAGTATGGGCTGACCCAGCTTTCTAGATACAAAGCCTCTACATGCAGGCAAAAATAATGACAATGCTGTTCAGGAACCACAATACTGTTCAGAAGCTGCTGATCCTTCAAAAACATGTAACAAATCTAAAAGTGCTCCAGCTGTCTTAAGAAAAAGCTATGTTAATGATACTAATTGCTATTAACATAACCCCAGGAAAGCCACCAGATGCAGCACAGATTCTGAAGCACATCTGGTTAGACGTGGGAAGAAGTTACCACCTGGGAAAACTGGGGAGGGAGGAAAAAAAATAATCAAGGAGGTTGTTAGTAGAAGCAGCAGCAATGCTCCTTCCTGCCTCAGATGATGGAGAAGTCAGTCGGATGTGTTGTAAAGAAAGGACAAGCGAACAGGAAGAACAGGCTGCCTGTTGGGTGTTCTGGCATTCCAGAGGCTTAGTCATAAGAAGGCACACCAACAGCAGGAAAAAAACCCGAGCAGGAATCTGTAATTTTGACATATTCCCTTCCTTGTTTTCCAACGGCTAAAACAACCCATTTCCTTTCACAACATAATATAGAACTGGTAAGATCTATATGCTGAAGGGCACAGTGATTAAAAAGATTTTTAATTTCATCTGCAAATACCATTGATTTTTAAATTATGAAATAAACAGTGTAATTGCTGTGGAACTTTTACTTTTTTTTTTTTTTAAAAACTGTTGATCTCATTACCAAAGTTGATTCTTCGTAAGTTCAGGAATCCCAACATCTTCATTATCTGTATCAAGTACTTCATTTAAGCCTCTTATCCTCTCTCTGGACTGCGATACAAAGACTTCTGGAAAGCCCAACTTAAATATATCCTCATAGATGTGGTTTGCCTAAAAAAAACAGAGTTTTATTACATACGTTATACAGGCCATCCCCACAGTTCATGAAGTGCCTAGTCCAAAGACTACAGTGTTTCTAGAGATTGTATTACTGATTGCTTTTAAAATTTGTATTAATGGCACAGAGAGACTGAGCCCATAGTTCAGTGTTTTGAGTATTTACCCATAACTAGAGGAGGAGAAGCCCGAGTCCAAGAGTTTCTGATGAACCTTAGTCTCCAGCTACTAAGTTACAGACTGGTTTGCCTATTAGCACTCAAGATCCCTTCTTCTGCTCAGCTAATTCAGTCCAGGTCAAAACTGATGTATACATCAATTCAAAAGCTTGTTTTGCCAACTTGGTATTGGAACACACTTACTTCAGCCAAATGTAACACAACTGCTAAATGCTAGAGTTACCAATAAATACTCACACTGTGTAAGCCTACATAAAAGCTGGGGTCAGTATGTCTCTATATGCTTGCGTTTGCACCAAATTTTTTCCAGCCAATGTTAAAAATCAGAGCCAGATTTACATACTCGTGTATGTAAATCCTCCTCCATAAGGAGGAGGTTTGGAGGACGGAACACAGCCACAGGAGTGATCCAAACAGGCCTACTGGAAGTAACAGGATTGTCCAAAGACTAAGAAGTACATACACAAGGAAAAAATGTGCATAATTTACATCCTATCCTAAAGGGACGTTATCATACCATCTGGCCCAGAAGCTTTGTCCCTTCATTCCCTCAAAGAAGGAATGACTGCAGTTTTCTAAATCAAAGCAATTAATTGACTTCAACACCCTGCAGAGGGACTGCAATCCAGGAGCAGCAAGCAATCTTGCGTAAAAACTAGAGAATGAAACCAGTTTGTTTTCTTTGCCTAGCAATCAACAATTTAATCTGAAAAAACATGTGTGGATACTATGTATTTTGACAGTTTCATTTAATTGTAATTCAAACAGCTGAAATAAATTGAGATATTTCCACGGTTTCGTTATACAGAACTCAGACAACTGCAGTGAACGTTGAGAGAGTACGGATTTAATCTAATGATGAGTGGGCAAAATCAACAGAGCTGGTAGAAGGCTTCTGTACTTCCGAGCATCCTTCTAGAAACAGAACTTGTGCCCCACCCTGCTCCCTCCTGAAGTAAGGCCTTGCTAAACTGCCTATCCTGAAGGGCGACAGCTGGGACATTCGAAGACTCCTGGTAAAATCCTTTGAATCCTACCCAAAGTGTCATAATACTTCAAATCGATTTGTAAATTATTTCAGTAGACTCAATTTACAACAGGGATACTATATGGAGGAGAAAGATGTCCAAGAAGCAGAATTCTGTGAAAGCACACTTACTAAAGCATGCATGGAGTCACAGTCAAGGAAAAAAAGACTTCCAAGTAGGTACCAAAACCTAAATGGGACAGGAGCTAAGGAAAAGGTAGGCAGCTGCTCTTGGCTTTGGGGTGGGGGGGAAATTACAGCCACAGAAGTGTGAATCAAGGGAAGCACAGGTTTGGCCCCTTTGTAGCATCTTCTTAGAGCCTGTGATGTTACTCAGATGTGCATATACATCACTGGCTTACAGGTTAGCCAAGACAGATGAAAAAGGCAAGATATTTTTTATTACCTTTATTACTGTCTACTTCAGTGGGTGTTTCTGAAACAAAATGTGGGTATATTTCCATTTATCTTGTAGCTGTGTACTAAGTATAAAAATATGAATGCACAAATTTCCCATCTGTGCTTTTTGACTAAATCCTCTGTATCCTATTACATCAGAATACTCCGGTGCTTAAGCAAGTGCGTTAGTCCCTCTCACAAAGGCCAGTATTTAAAGAACACGTGAAAAATCCTTACAGTTATTCAATCATGTAGGCAAAACACCCAGCTACCACAAGGAAATTAGTGATCATTTTCATCTTAAAAGAAATGATTCTGCTCCAGACTGACGCTGTTTCATTAACTGAAGCATTAGATATTGAAGGTCAGACCTTGGACCTCAGATGATCTCTAGAGGTCCCCTCACAGAATGTTTTGGGTTGGAAGGGACCTTTAGAGGTCATGTAGTCCAACCCCCTCCAACCTACCTGGACTTCTTCCTACTGACCATACAGAAGGCAGAGCCCCAACCTGAAGCATTTATGATCTCAAATAAACAGTACAAAAAGCAGAGGGATGAAGGACAAGCTACGCGTATATTCTACACCCAAAGACATCTCCGACAGCTCTGCAGCTGTGTTTCTACCTTGAGACAAGAAAAGACAACTTGGAACTCTAGGCATGGTTAACTCATTCAGCTCACGCTGGACATTTCTTTTTTGCCTTTATTAAATGCAAAAATTAAGCAAAGGCTTCAGTAAGATTAAGATCTACTGCTTTTGGAAAGAAACCAAACAATCTTCTATATTCTATTTCAGCTCCAGTCGTTACATACCCTGTTTTTTCAACATAAGACTTCTTGTCCCCAATTTCCAGCATTATGAACAATTTAATTTCTCTGTTTATGCATACCAATAACCAGGTATCTTGTGATCTCCATTCTATCAGTGCTGGACAACCTACCCCACGTGCATCCTAGTGCTTTCCCTAGCAATATCTCTGCTACAGGTGAAGTTCCCAGGCAAGGGCAAGAAAGCCTGTTGCCAGAAAACCCCCAGTTCCCTACGCACGCTAAAACTCACCTAACAGACCACAAGCTATTACTGCTACTGATTAACCCCGGGGAAGTCTTAGTCAATTGCTCTCTTTTTTCAAATGTTTCACTTGAGGATAAAAGTTGCAAGAATGAGGGCATTTTGTTTTGTATTTGTACATTCTTACTTCCCTTTGGTTACTTTGCTTGGCTTTGGTGATGCATGTTTGGTAAACATGGAAACCTACTAATTGCAACAAGGTGTAACCCTTAACCTGAACCTCTTTTTGTGTTGATAAGGACACACTGTATTATTTATTCAGATTATTAGTTCTAGCATTGTATGAGCAAATGTAACATCCTATGCTAAAAAATTAATGATATTAAATTATTTCTGTTCTTTTTTGTGCATCGTTAACTTCCACCCACAATCAGTCTAAAATTCCAGAAGGATCGTTGGATTATTCAGGCAGTATATTAAATAACAGAAGTTACTGGTTTTGCCAATTTCTAACGCCATGTTATGTTGGTTTACTTCAATAAGCTTGCAGGCAACTCATAGAATTTTTGTCCACCCTGGTTTTGTTACCCACCTTCCCAGTTTTTTGTTTCCTATGCTCATTCCCGTCTAGCTTTTCAATTGCATGTGCTTTGGGGCACGGTTCATCATTTCTACCTGCTTAGTTATTCCTAGTGTCTGGAAGCAAAGTAGCACATTACATTCTTCAAAGCTCTCCAGCAGGATAACTTACGTATTTGTCAAACACTGTAAAGAAGTTGCTTTTGTTCTACTTGAGCTAGCTGCAAAGTAGCTTGACAGTTTCTCTCCCTGTACAGCATTATTCTCTACAGAGAGGACATTCAGATACAAATCTTGATATGTAGGAAGCAGTCACACAAACATTTCTGGTCCTTGGTTTGCTATTAACACATACCTCAGTTAGAGAGCTCGAAGCCTCCTGCATCCCACTCTGCGCAGATGGCTCAGAACAAAAGTGACCAGCAGAAGTGCTGCTATGTCCGCTGCTTAACTCCGTATCAACTCTAGAAGTTTTTGTTGGCTTCACCAAAACTTCAAGATTATAACTGAATCTCTCTGACCTGTCCAAGGACTCCTTGAAGCCTTCAAAATCACCCCAGGAACCGCTGGGTTCTGAGGTACTGTAACTGCTCGCAGAAAGCCCCTCACAACTTCGCCCTTTGCTATTCACTACTGGGAGGCTTTGCTGCATTACGACAAGATTAAGAATTTCTTCATTATTTGTCCTTTCATTTGTGTTACAGTCGCTTTCCTCAAGAGACATACCACCTACTTCAACCCCGAGGTCTTTTAGAGACATCCGGTGGGATGCGTCTGGGTCAGTAAGACTTTCTACTAGTGACAGGTTCTGCGCCTCTAAGAAAAATTCATTTCTTGAAATCTGTATGGCAAAAAGGCTACTGAAGTTGAGTTGCGTTAGAAATCTGAATATTTCCAAAACAGAATCAAATTCTTCATTTCACCCCAAAGAATAACACCACTGCTAAATCAAAACAGGATGTCCTTCAGCCTCTCCTCCAGTAATCAGCATGTGCATGTTATTCAGTCTCCCTTTCTGTGGGGGATATTAGCCTGCAAAGAAAGAATTCTAAGTAAATACTTCTGTGATAAGGGCTGTGTAGGAATAAAGAGATAGCTGATAAGGTAGGAGAAAGAACGCTCAGGTTGAAATAAACACATTCCAGTATTATACAACTGAAGGTCGCTGTAGGCAAAACTATTTAAAATTTACACTTAACTGTCTGCCCACACCAGAAGTGAACAATATTCAGAAAACACTTAACAGAAACTGTTGGATATTAACTGAGTACTGACTGAGTATACAGGAGACGAACCAAAATGATTATAGACACTATCCAATGCTTATTAAATGTTTTCTGTAACCCTTTCATCCACCTCGTGCACACTCCACGTTCTTTTTGTTTGTGGGCTTCCCCCGTCCCAGAGATTACCCAAGGGGTGACCGCGACGTGTGGCAACACGGGAGCTGGCCGCTTAACCCTGCGAAAAATACAGCGCTTCCAACTATTTAAGCTATTAAGACAGATTTAAGCAGTTCAGTTTGGCACCTGTAAATTCCACAGGCAACACTGCATTTACCATTTTGGATTAATCACACCTCCTCGAGCATTTTGCCGACTGACAAGCTGTTGG